AAATAAACTTTATATAACGCTTTTTTATTTCGGAGTTAATATTACCCTTGAAATTTGAGTCGGTCCCGGGTTGACCCGGGTTGAACGAGTCGAATCCGAGTCGGACAATGATCGGGTCGAGTCGAATCTCGGGTTCCGTAATTATTAACGGGTTCGAGTTCGAATATGCTTCAAACCCGACCCGACCCGACCCTTACGGAGCACTAATCTTAAGTACTACTGTAATTGAATGGAGTGATGATGAATAATAAAAGTAATGGCAAATGAAAATTAACCAAATTAGATATGGTTTTATTTATTTTTGAATCAATTCCTTCCTTCTAATATTGTATTAATTTATGTACCATAGAGCGCTGACTTAAACACCTACCCATGCAATATATCCTCCTAAGGTTTTGAATCGAAAATTTGTAAAAGACCCATACTTTATATGTGAAATACCCGGGTGTTTGTATTACTTATCCCCGGCTAAAATGAATTATTAATTTTTCTTATTTTTTTTTTCAACCAATCACTAGGTTTAATTAAATCTTGAATTTTTCTTCCAGTAGTTTTCCTTTTGCGTCAAAATTTTTTTTTTAAAGCTCGCAAAAACAATTCGTTTTTCAAATATATTGTAATATATTTATTAATAAATTTTTTTTTCTATGAAGAGATAATCTATAAAACAAATGCCGCTCAAACCCTCCCGAAGGTACATAATGACGAATTCTAATCCCAAACAAGTATCATTTCGAAATCACATTATCCATTATATAAATACATCTGCAAATTTAATATATAGAAAATATACAAAAAGAAATAAAGAATTTATTGTGATTCGTCAATGTTGACAATTTAAGTGATATTCGGATCATTAAATTACTTAATTGAGCTGCTCGTTGTACTATGCATCGCACCAAATGAAGTTGTTACACAATTTCATTTTAACACGAAAATGATTAATGTCTTGTGATTGATAAAGTCTTTTGATTGGTATGACTGCAGTTGCTACGCCCTATAAAAAAATCCCGCAATGAAAATCTACGGAGATTACCGTCGTAACTCAAAACTTTTGAGAATGACTAATTAATTTTCTGTCAATAATATAACCCATTCGAAAATAACGTTCTTTCACATGAAATTTTTATTGTAACTAAAATGGAAATTCAAAAAGAATGAGAATGATATATAAAGACCGAGTTTTACCGATTAATTATTTTTTTTTTTATGCTTACTCAACAACACATGAATATTTCAAGAATCCTCCTACTTATAACTCTCTTTAGTTTTCTATTTTTTCATTACTCAAATGGTGTATTGATAATATCAACGATTTGAAGGTGAAAAATGACGGCAGTATCACAGACTACCGCACATTCTACCACATGAGCGGAGGAAATATATCTTTCAGGCTGGCAAAGTACATAACAAATTGCTTACTTTTTTTTTTCGTTTTCAATGTCTTAAAGTACTGATGTGCGAAAATCCTTCATTTAGGATGCCTTGCGGCTCATCATCTCTTGGGATTCATGTGATGCCTAAGAGTGAAAATCCGATATCGTTCGATTGGCGCACAATTACTAACGACAGTCAGAACGATGAAATAATCATCGGCAATGACGTTATAGACAACACCATATTCCGTATGCAAGCAAAAAGTCAAGATTTAACAATATTAGTTGCTCTACTCCCTTCCTTCAGCGGTCAAATTTGCTAACGTGAGTACGTTCCTTCCGTCCCGTCTCTCATCAGTCTGAAAAGACAACTTCTTCTAGTGTTTGCGATGAAGCTTGTGGTTCAATTATTGCAGGTGTTCTTGGAAGTATTTCATTTATTGTAGCTGCAATTATAGGAGTACGTTATTACAGAAGGGATCCCTCACCGTGAGGGATATCTAGTGACATTGGTGGTATTATATATAACCAACGATAGGATTACATTATTTGGTCAATTTACTTCTTTAACGATAAATAAAATAATTTTATAAAGTCCAACAGAATTTTTAATATCGATATTTACTGACTATCAAATAACCTCGGATTTTCTCCAAAATGATTTGACAATGTTATTGCATAATAATTATTTAATTCAAAGATTTAATTGTCAGTTATAAAATAAAAAGCATTAAATTTTACATCATAAGACGTGTAATTATATATACATCGTAAAGTTTGACTAGATTAATTTTAATAGATAAATTATTTTTATTCGGAAAATCCACGAATGGTATGTGTGAATGATGAAATTCTGTTGACATTGTATGTTCTTGCCAATAAAAACCTAATAAATTAAACCTGATTACACATGGGCATCAATCAAAGAATATCTAAAAAATCCTTGAATAATTAACGCATTAGGTGTATGAAGCTTACCTTTTTATTTAAGTACTGCTACCACGAAAATTTACTTTAATAAGATTTCATAATATCACTGTCATTATCCTTTTCGTGATCATAGTAAGTCGTTGAAGGTGTTTATTGATA